AGAGAGAGAGAGAGAGAGAGAGAGAGAGAGAGAGAGAGAGAGAGAGACAGTTGCCTGAAAAATGCACAGGGGGTTGTGTAGAAAAAGCATGTGTGGTTGGGGTGTTTGAAGGCAGTGTCAGCTTTTCTAAGGTGAGTAAGTCCTGTGCTGCTTGGTTCCCAGGTGCTTCTTGAGCTTGAGTGGCAGGTGGATACTGTTTCAGAGAGGCTACCATAGGGAATTCTCAAACTTGTTCAGAGGCTTGGAGAAAAAAAGAAAAGAAAGCCTAGCTGGACAGTGCATGAGCCCCACGTGCAGGTCCACCCTGTGCTGGTGGCTATTGAGCCACAGGTAAGTGGCTTTTCCATGAATTTCTGCCCCACATTGGGTGCCAATATTGAGCAGGAGTTGTAATATGTCTTAATAATGAAAGCTTGGACTCAGATACAGATGAAAATGCTGAGATCAGAGAGATGAAGGAGCACAACTACCAGTCACCTTTTCTCTCAACATCCAGGCTGAAAAGAGAATGAGTTCCTATTTCCTCCTGACTTATCACTTCCTCTCTCCTCCCAGCCTTATCACTTTTCTATCTGGACAGAATTCTAGAACCCTATGCTTAGCTAGTGCCAGCTCCACCTTCTGATCTCCAGTGAAACTTTATTTATATAAACAAGATCTCACCAGACAGGGCTGACCAAGGTGCTGAGACTACATAATGATTGAGGCCCCAGCACTAAGGAAGACTTTTATACCACTTCATGTAAGTCTCAGAGAACATTGAAAATGAAGGGCAGGAAGATTGTAGAGAAGCTGGAAGGTATGAAGAAAGGCAGTTTTTGATTTCATAAACTCACAGCAGCTGTAGGTACTTTTACTAAACCTGCACAACACTGGCCCTGTCAATAATCAGTGATAGATGGATAAGGGACTCATAAGGCCCAATGCTTTATTGCTAAACACTTGGCTATGGATAAATTCTGAAAGAGGAAGAATCATTGTCTTTATTTATGTGCTCACTGCTGAGCCCAACAGGCTCCAGTTGATAACTCCAAATACATGGTCACAAGGACACCCCTGGATAACTCTTTGGGCCAGACACCAAAACAAATAAAAATGAGAATGTAGAAGAGATTTGTATGAAGGGGTTGGGTAGAAATAAGGGAAAACAGAGGGTAAGAGTAATCAGCATGCATTTTATATATGTGTAAAATGTTAGAGAACAAGTTTAATTACATAAAAATTATATTAATAACAATAAAATTTCTCAAAAAGTGAGAAAAGGCAACACACCTTGTCTGTTAAGGGTCTGTGCTTCATAGTAGCACACCAATAAATTGCATATGTTAATATTTCTTCTGAGCACTTACATACTATAGCATTCTGCCTTTGGTCTCTTTTCACTTACAGTTGCTTTAAGGTTAAAGAAAAAGATTTGCCAGATAAACTCACTGAAGAGAAGCTGGGGAAGTGCGCCAGTCCCTGGTCTTTGGGAAGACATCCAGCTGCGCTACTAGTCAGAGATATTCAGACTCTCAAAGTCATAACAGATGAAGCTCTAAGTTGATAAAGAATATTATTTCGGAGCTGGGGAGATGGCTCAGTTATTAAGAGCACTCTCTTGCAGAGAGCCCAGATTCAGACCTCAGCCCTTATATGGTGGCTCACAACTGTCTGTAACTCATGTTCTAGGTTATCAAATGCCCTTTTCTGGTTGCTGTGGGCACTGCACCCATCTGGTGTATATAATACTTGTAGGTAAGGTTTCATACATTCATATATTCATAAATCTTTGACATGTATGGCAGATAAACTTATAACTATCTTTAAAGCATGCCACGAAGGGATAAAATAAAAGGGTTTCTATTCTCTGTCACTAAACCAGTTCTTCCTATTTTGCTGGCAACCATGGAAAAAGCTGAGATACCCCTAAGCCATGGCCCTCATACTTGGCCAGAGTGTGAAAAGTGGCGAGTGACACATAAGCAACATTTTATATAAATAAATGATGAGAGGATTTCCTGTGAGTCAGGGGAGACAGAAGAGCATTTTGGATAATGAATAAGAGGATCTTCCTTGAACTATTCAGAGAGTACTGGTGGACTTCCTATTCCTTTATCTCTCCTGCGACCTGGCTTGAGTCTGGGTTGAAAGCTAGCTGGCTGCTGTTGATCCCGTCTGGTAGTAATTCACTAGGGAAGTGTATAATGAGTCGTGGGGTGGACTCAGGTCAGTGTAGTCTTTTAGAGCAGAAACCCCTTTTACTTGGCTTCCTACTGTTCCATGTTTCCTAAGATTAGCCAAGGCCCTGAATGTCTTTATGACTGGTGAGAGAAGAGTCATGATGAAATCTAAACTCTGGGTTCAAGGAAAAGACATTTTTGGGGTTCAGGGGTGTTTTAAATCATAGAAAACTATCACTAAGGCAGAAAACTCACTATGAAAACAGCACATTCAGGTGCTCAAAACAAGAGTTAAGGTTCCTTTTAAGTAGCACAAGTACCCAGCTGTGCACCACCACTCCGTTAATCTCAGTATATGGGAGACAGAGGAGGCAAATCTCTGTGAGTTTAAGGTCAGGGTAACTTACTGAGACAGCCCCAGGACAGCCATGGTTATATAGAGAGATTCCTTTTTGTTTGTTTGTTTTAAAAATGGAATAGCATAGGTAGCTACAGAGTCATTTAGTCCAAAGGGAACCTGTGGAAAGGAGCAGCTCAGAGATTAGGAGAGCAGGCACTGGTGCTGTGATGGGAAGGAATGCCATTTCTCTACAGGTAACTGGTTGATGAAGCATGGGATTTTAGAGCCCAGGGAGCCACACTTAGATGGTGCCTTGTGCAGCGCAGCACAGCAGAGGGACACTGTTCCGTTGTTGTCTGTGCTACTTTTCCCTGGTGGCAGGAGATATCTCCAAATACTGGAATATTGCTTGTGTAATGTTGGCTGTATTAGGATGTTGTCTATTCAGTTATCAGAGAAAGTAGAGATCAAAAGGTGTTGACAAGTATGTTGAGAAATTGGGGCTCTTCAACCATTAAAAAATTAAAATGATTTATTTATTATATTTTATGTATATGAGTGTTTTTCCTGCATGTATGAATGTGCACCACCTGCCCAAGGAATTGGCAGAAGAGAGCATTGGAATTTTGGAACAAGAATTGCAGGTGGTTGGGAGTGATTATAAGGATGCTGAGAAATGAAACAAGGCTTGTACTCAAGAGCAATTTGTGTTCTTAACCACTGTGCCACCCCTGTAGCCCCAGAAACTGGAACTCTTGCACAGTAGGAGGAATGAGAAGAACAGCAGGTGTGCAGAAATTTGTAAAGACTGCTCAAAAATTAAAAGTAAATGTACTTTATGACTCAGTACCCATATCTAAGGATGCTTATTCAAGTAATTGACATCAAAATCTTCTTTTAATTTAAATTTCTCTTTATATTTGTGCCCATTTATTGAATGTTATGAGGGAATACATAATGTCCTTTAAGTATATCATAGACTCATGTACTTTGATGATATTTGCTCTTCCATAGCTTCTCCCCTGACTAGCTACCCACTTTCTCACACACAATTTATAGGATTTGAGATTTCTGTGCAAAATTTTGGTTTTACAAATGAAAGCACTTGCTTGATAATTTTTTTTGCGTGTTTTGTTTTTCTCATTCAACTTAACAGTCTCATATGCAGCATTTTTCTAGCAAAGAACATGATTGAAAGCAGAATCCTAAAGGGATATTTACACTCCCAAGTTTATGCCAATCCCATTAACAATTGATAAGATGTGACTGAAAATTAGGTGCTCTTTGTAAAGTAAATACAGAAAGAAAATGTGACAGGGAAGTCATTGATATATATGATCCCACCCAAATGATGTTTATAAATGTCAGACAGCAAAGGAGAGAACAGACCCTTGATTTACAGGAGCTGAGGACAGAAGAGCTAGGAAGATTGTAAACATTGGGTATGAAATTTCAATTATTCCAGATTATAAATCTAATTTATAATAAATAAATTATATTATTCATTTTATAGAAACCTTCCATGGATCTATTGCTTAACACCATGCTTAGTGCCACTGATGCAGGGAGACCACGATGTGCATTTAAAATTCTATTAATTATATATATTTTTCACTTAGCGATTTATTAAAATAAAATGAGAGACACTATGGAGTGATGATAACCAAAAATTTATTAAAGTTGCTTTCTTCCAGGGACACATCTCACAAGTGAGCATAATGGAGAAAATAGCACATACAAATCTCAGGATAATTCAGAAGAAAATACATTTGAGAAGATAACAGGTAAAATAAAGTTTCATTTGGGGGGATATGTTTCCTTAAGTTATTTGGTGAGTGATATAGAGATCTTGGCTCAGAATTTAAACTGACCAGACCTTCACATCAGTCTTCCCCACAATGAAGATGTCACAAGATCCACAATCTCTGGAGATGAGAAGAGTGAGGGTGAAAGATGCCATCTTCAGGTTTCCTGGTGAGCTCATGAAGGGGGTCAGCAAAGGTTAACAAGTGGCTCTTGCATCTAGGGCATTTCTGCTCTCCCAGAGCATTGCTCTACAGCTGTTCCTTAGGGGAGCTGGTCAGCAGCAGCAGGGCTGGCAGCAGGGTGTGCTGCAGCTGATGGTCACACAGGTTGGTTTAAGAGAGGTGGTCTTGCAGCTGCTGGTTTCACAGCATGTAGGTTGGCAGCAGAGCTGGAGCAAGCATGGCTGACAGCAGGAGGGCACACAGCAGCAGGGCTGGCAGCAGGGTGTGCTGCAGCAGATATTCACACAGGTTGGCTTGCAACAGGTGGTCTTGCAGCAGGTGTTTTCACAGCAGGTGCTTTCACAGCAGGTGGGCACACAGCAGCAGGGTTGGCAGCAGCAGGGCTGGCAGCAGGCGGGCACACAACAGCAGGGCTTACAGCAGTATATGCTGCAGCAACATGGGGGACAGCAAGGCTGACAGCAGATGGACTCAGGGCAGCTGGATTCACAGCAGCTGGGCTGGCAACAGGTGGTCTTGCAGCAGCATGGCTGACAGCAAGGTGGGCAGCAGCAGAGGGCCATGGTGTCAGGTGTGGAGGGTTTTACTCTGTTCACAGGTGAGTTTACAACAGTGTAGCAAGTTCTTCCAGTCAAGCCCTTTTATACTATGGGCCTCCAATTCTTGGGCCAATCAGAGAGACTCTTCCTCTTTGTTTGCCATTTCCATATTTAATTTGTGTTCATGGAGAAGGAAATGTTCTACATCATTTGAAAGCATTCATTTCTTATTTTGGGATAGCTTACTTGAGCTATTTCCAATAACTCAATGGTTCATCCCATCATCTTTGTTCTAACTCCTATTTGGTAGCTCTTATTCTATGAAAAAGTCAAGATTCCTTCATTCTTACAACTTTCTTATGCTATCTGTGCTTAGATTTATAAATGTCTCTGGGCATGAGTGTGCTGTATTCACTATGATGGACTCAACACCTAGTTCCCTGTCCCTCAAAGCCCAATTTCAGTCTGTTCCAGGTAGGTGTCAATCACTGTAAAAATTGCTATACCTTGTATCTGGGCTCATTAAAGGCATTCTGAGATAAGGGTGTCTGGAATGCTGTGTTTTACAGCAGAGTAGAACCAGCACTGGTGGCTATAAAAGGAAACAGCGCATTAAGAATAAGGAGGTATCAGTGGAGATGTGGGTGGCCATCAGTCCTGAATGACTGTCTACTCCTAAGAGCTCATGGGGAGGAAGCACTTAGATGCAGAAATAGGACGGTGAGTGGGTGACTCCAGTGCACACCTGGCTGTCAGCAGGGGCAGTGACCTTAGACTGGTGATCTCCCGATTTCCTTCTTCTGCCTGACTCTCTTTATTTTTACCCCCATCCCTCTATGTCTGGTCTTTTCCCTTCATTTTCTTTTATACTTTATCTCTTTTCTTTCCATTCAGAGAAAAAACTCATGATTATTTGAGATGTACCTAATTTATTTCCTAATTCATCCATGGGGAATAAGATGTGCCTCTCTCTCTCTCTCTCTCTCTCTCTCTCTCTCTCTCTCTCTTTCTCTCTCTCTCTATCTCTGTCTTTCTCTCTGTCTGTCTCTGTCTCTCTTTCTCTCCTCTCTCGTATACTATTCATACTGAAAATACCTAGATAATACATTTCTGATTTGAGAGAATAAAAGGTGAACACAGCCATAGCATTATTAAGGAAATGAAAATTAACTTTGATCCTTACAAACCATATCATATCACTCATCCTCAAAAGCTGGTTCTCACTGTCTTAGATGGTCAGTCTTCCAACCTTGGCATCACTTTTGATGTCTTTGCAAATCAAAATTAGTCTGTGTCTTTGATAATAGAATGACTGTGGCAATCCTCATCATCATTTCCACCAGTTCATTCATTCTCATTTTTGTGTAGTTGTTCATTAAACGAATTTGGCATCGCCCAGTGTTTGGAATTTTTCTCCAAGAAAACAGGTTGTTTCCAGTTTGGGAATATTCAAAATAATGCCACTACAATTGTTTCTGTTTTAAACATGAAGGCTGAATGTCCACATTCAGTACCTGGAACCTTGTTTATTATGAATTCTGGAACTTTCTTTTACAGGAATCTAGCTATTCTTTTATTTACTTTGAATAGATTATTTTTTTCTTTTCACTATATGTGGTTTTTTGAGACATGGTTTCTCTGTGTTGTCCTGGCTCTTCTGGAACTCACTCTGTACACTAGGCAGGTCTCAAATTAATAGAGACTCACCTGTCTCTTCCTCCCTAATGCTGAGATTAATGATGTGCGCCACCAACCCCTAGCTTCCTTGTCAAAAATCAGGTGTTCAGAGATGTGTGGGTTGATATCCAGGTCTTCTATTTGGTTCCATTGGTCCTTCTGTCTGTTTTTATGCCAATAAGAATATACCTTCTTCTTGGCACCTTATGTAACTTTCTCGAAAATTGACCACATACTCAGTAACAAAGCAAACCTCAACAAATACAAAAAATTAGAGTGACACCCTGTATCTTATAGGATCACCATGGTTTAAAGTTAGAATTTAATAACAGCTCTAATTTCAAAAAGCCTACAAGCTCATGGAAATTGAACAATGCTCAATTGAATCACACCTAGGTAAAGGAAAAAATAAAGAAAGAAATTAAGGACATCCTAGAATTCAATGAAAATGAAGGCATAATGTACCCAAACCTATGGGACACTATGAAAGCACTGCTAAGAGGAAAGTTCATAACAATAAGTGACTACATAATGAAAGTGAAGAAAGCTCACACTAGTGACTTAACAGCACACCGGAAAGCTCTAGAACAAAATGAAGCCGACTTACCCAGAAGGGGTAGACAATAGGAAATAGTCAAATTTAGGGCTCAAATCAATAAAATAGAAACAAAGAAAATAATATAAAGAATCAATGAAACAATGAGCTGGTTCTTTGAAAAAAATCAACAAAATAATCAAAAGGCAGAGAGAGAATATCCAAATTAACAAAATGAGAAATGAAAAAGAGATACATAACAACAGACACTAAGGAAATCAAGAGAATCATTAGGTCATACTACAAAAAAAATTATACTCCACAAAATTGGAAAATGTAAAAGAAATGGGCAATTTTCTGGATAGGTATCACATACCAAATTAAATCAGGACCAGGTGAATAATTTAAATAGACCTATAACTTGCAAGAAGATAGAAGCAGCCATCAAAAGCTTCCCAACCAAAAAAATCCCAGGGCTGAACAGTTTCAGTGAGGAATTCTACCAGAACTTCAAAGAAGAGCTAATACTCCTCAAAGTGTTCCACAGAATAGAAACAGAAGGAACATACTCTTTTTATGAGGCTACATTTACTCTGATACCAAAATCACACAAAGACTCAACTAAGAAAGAGAATTACAGACCAATCTCACTCATGAACATAGATGCAAAAATACTCAATAAAATTCTGGCAAACAGAACCCAAGAACACATCAAAAAAAGCATCCACCATGATCAAGTTGGTTTTATCCCAGAGATGTAGGGATGGTTCAACATACAAAAATCTATTAATGTAATCCATCATGTAAATAAACTGAAAGAACAAAAACCATTTGATTATCTCATTAGGTGCTGAAAAATCGCTCGACAAAATTCAACAGCCCTTCATGATAAAGGTTCTGGAGAAATCAGGGAAGAGGAGGGAAGGAGATGGAGTGAGGAGAACTTAAGGGAATGAGATAGCTGAGATGGAGGAAGGACAGAGATGAGAGCAAGGAAAGAGATATTTTGATTGAGGGAGCCATTTTTGGACTACCAAGAAATCTGGCACTACAGAAATTCCTAGGAATCCATCCACAAAGATGATTCCAGCTAAGACCCTAAGCAATAGAGGAGAGGGTGCCTGAACTGGCCTTGCCTTATAGTCAGATTGATGAATATCTTAAATCTGACCATAGAACCTTCATCCAACAACGAATGGAAACAGAGGACGAGACCTGCAGCTGAGCATTGGGCTGAGATCTCAAATTCCAGTTGAAGAGTGGGAGGAGTGAGAATATGAGCAAAGAGGTCAAGGCAATGATGGGGACACCCACTGAAACAGTTTACCTAAGCTAATGGGAGCTCACAATCTACAGTTGGACAAGGAAGGAACCAACATATGTCCAAACTAGTCCCTCTGATGTGGGTGACAGTTGTATGGCTGGGGCAGACTGCAGGACCACTGGCAATTTTTGTGGCATTTTAATTGTATTTTAATAAAAAATGTCTGCCTGAAGATCTGAGAGTAAAATAGTCCCGCTGGTCAGCCTTATAGACCAGGTTATGGTAACATACACTTTTAATCCCAGTAGTCATCCCAGTTGCCATAGAAATCGGGTGGTGCATGCTTTTAACACCAGAGGTGCACGTCTTTAATCCCAGCCCTAGAGAGGAATATAAGATGCATGTGACAGCTCTCAGACACAGTCTCCTTCTGAAATTCCTGGAGGCAGAATTGCCATTTTGGACTGAGGTCCAGGAAAGAGCCAGTGGTTGGCTGTTTTGCTTTTCAGATCTTCAGGAAGAACCCTAATTCCTGACCTTGAGCTTTTATTAATCATCCTTCAGGCAATGCCACCCGTCTTATCCTTACTGCTCTTGCTGACTTTTTAGGGAACCTATACTCTCTATGAATACCTTGCTCAGTTTAGCTATAGTAGGGAGGGCATTGGACCTTCCCCAAAGCAATGTGCCTTACCCTCTCTGAGATATGGATGGAGGGTGGAGTGAGGGGATTGTTGGAGGGAATGGGGGGAGGGAAGACACAGGGAACTGAGATTGGTTTGTAAAATGAAAAAAGATAATTTGTTTTCCTTTTTAAAAATAAAATAAATTAAATTAAAAAAATACAGCTAATTCTCATACAGGCTGAGCTAATTTCTATTCCCATAGGTTGCCTTTCCCCTGGATCCTCTCCAGCACTTGTTTTTGTTGATTTCCTTGATGACAGCCCTTTTTGAGTAGAGTGAGATAACATTTCAAGGAATGTTTGATTTGCATTTCCTGCTGGCTAGTGATGTTGGACATTGTTTTTCATGTATTCTTTTAGTCATTTGTACTTTTTTCCCTTAAAAAGTCTTCAAATAATTTGACAATATATGGATTGTATGACCTTTTCCTTTAATTTTTTTTACTTTTAAATTCTATTATATATGTATTCTCTAATGGATATCTACTTGGCATTATTCCTGTTCAAGTGTCTGCTGCCTGCACTTCTACACATCTGATCTTTGCCTGAACTTAGATAATAAGTTTATTGCAGGGGATGGATATAATGCTATAGTACCCACAGTGATGAATTAAATGGTTGGCTTCTAGCCTGAATCTCCATTAATCTAGGCTTCTGTCCCTGTAAGAGTCTCTGCTGTATTGTCTCTCTCTGAAGAAAGGTTTGATTTTTGGCAGAGGTAAGGAAGAGTGAGATGTGATGGGCAAATCAGTTTCCCATTCAAAAGAAGAGGGATCTTTGAGGGTAGGAGACAGTACAAGAATGTAAACAGCTAGTATAATGTTTTCCTTGAACATTTTTGGAGAGATGGTCATGCCAATGTC